AAAAAAAAAAAGGAATATCATACCGTGGACCAAAACTATGGAACACTTTTCAAAAACAAAAAATTCAAATACAGTAAAATCGTTAAATTCCTTTAAGTTTATAATAAAAAATGAAATTTTTAAATTAGATAAATAGTTTTCTTGATTTTTCGAAATGAAAATCGAGTTCCATTATTCTTAGTTTTTTTTACTTGTTATTTTGATATTTAACAGAGTTGCCAGTATATTTTAATGTGTATTGATAAAACTATATGATATTATTTACTTTCTTGATTTAATGGAAATATTTATGCAATCTTTAACCTTTTTATTATATTGGAGATCCTATTTTTTTTAACTTGTAAAGCCTAGCTAGGGGCTCTATGAAAAGATTGTGGTGACTTTAGTCATCCGTATCTTCTTTGAGCCCCTGCCTGTTTTTTATAAATCAACTTTTTTTGTATGAAAATGTTTCTTTGTAATTATTATTCTTATTGTATAAACAGCAAATATATATTTAAAAAAAAAAAAAAAAAAAAAGCTAAATGTATTTAAAACTAATACCTTTAATTAAAAAGATTATTTTAGAATATACAAATCTTATAAACGATTTCTTTTAAATTTCTCTATGTATTTTTATTTTAATTACAACGTTTGTAAGTTTTTTCGTTCTTAATACGATTTAATTTTTTATTAATTACATTATAACTTTTATTTTTAACTTCATTATCAAAAATTTAATATTGTAAAATGCTCTTCCGCGGTGCTCTCTGATAAGGCCGTTAAGACCGTTATTATGAGAGCTAGATTATAATTACAAAAAAAAAAAAAATTAAAAAAAAAATAATGATAAAAAAAAAATACAATGTTCAACTAAATCAAAAAGTTTACTTAGATCAATAAAGACAACCGAGTTTTTTTCTTTATCATCATGTTTTGGGTGCAGTCGTGGCGCAGTGGTTAGAGTTCTGGCTCAGAATCGAGAGGTCCGAACGCACCATTGAGGTAAATATTTTTTTATGTGAAAGAAATTTTTCTGTTTGATTTGATGATTAACAAATAAATTTTGACTTAATAGATATTATATAAAAATATACGTGACCCAGTCTTTAAGAATTAATTGCATTCAATTTTTGAATTTTTTTTCTCCTAAACTGGTTAAATGTTCTGATATTATAATGTTTTTATTTAAACTTGTGGCCATGAAAATAACCGTTTTTACAAAGCTCAATTCAAGTGCTTTAGTTATCTAGTTATTCAAATTCATTGTGTTTTAGATATCTTGATTCATCAGTTCATACTTTCTAAATTTTACAAAGTAAGAAGAGATGAATGAAGATATTGAAGTTAAAACTCATTTTAAAAGTTTTAAATAAGTTCACAATATTTACCTAAGAAATGAACAGAAAACTTGTTTGCAAGTAAATAATAGATTTTGAAAAACGATTTTGATGTTTTTATGTTTTTGTGAGTTGATGTTTTTATAAAAATAAAAAATATTACTTATAGATTCATTTTCTGCTTTGTGTTTATTTAAAGATTCAAAGATTATTATGCATCTATAAACCTACATTTACAGATACATAACAATAATTGTGCTACATATTTTGCATATCACAGGCTTCATTATAAATAAAATATCTTCTGCCTGATATTTCTTCTAAACACTGTCTAGAATTGGAACAGACCTGATGCAAACTTAATTTAATTGTTCGAATTGTAATAAACGTAAACAGCGACATCATTTTTTGTCTGTAATAGGTTTACAAGGTCAAAAATCAGAATTATGTTTATGTTAAAAAAACATAATTCTAAAACATAAGTTTATGTCGATAATTAAACTATCCTTTTAAAGGTTTTAAGTCAATAGTTTAAGTATTACCATAAGAAAAAGATGTGAAATACAATTTTTGATAAGTATTTTATTTTAAACATAAGTGGTAAAAGTTAAAAAAACAACAAAAATAAAATATGGTAAAATTAAAAAACATTGAAATAAAATTTGAAATTGAAGTAAAGCTTTATTATTTCAATTGAGGGTCAAAAACTATATATTTAAAATTTTATAAACGCAACCCACGCCTTCCACTTTATATTCTCAATCTCAGTGAAGTAGCATAAATAAGAAAAAATATGTTTAAGAAGTATACTGCTAAGCATGCAACATTTTTTAATTTTTATATCGTGCCAAAATTTACGAGTTGTAATTTTTTAAAAAAAGCTTTGTATTTGTTTATATAAAAAGTTACGAAAAGCCATAATGGACGCCCATTATGACGAAATTATGACGAAAGCGAAATTATGACGAAAAATTAAAAGAAAGCGAAGTCGAAAGCTTGGCGCCCTGGCGCAAAGCTTTCGTCTTCGCATGAAACACAAATAGTGAGAATTAAAAAGCATATTCGTGGTAGATAGGCTTCGAACCATTTCCTAAAACGCTTGGTGAATGACTAGTATATTCTCAAAACTAAATTTGGAGTTTACAACATGGTATTTATTATTTTCCTATTGTATATTTTATAATAAAAACATTCAAAAAGTACAGGTTTTTTGATACATTTTAGAGAATCTTTGCTTGTTATTAACACAATACAAGAAGTAAACTCATAACAAGAACTTTTACAACCATTAAATTAAAAGTTAGTTTTTAAACTTTTTCGTTGAAGAAATTTGAGCAACAAATATCACTTTTGATTCCGAAAAATGATACATTACGATGAAAAATTAAAAATAGCGCTTAAAAACAATTATAATCGTGTTTTTTAATTCGAAATGTTTTTTTAATTCTTTTATAAAATTTTTTTAAAAAAACCACATCAAGTTCCGTTATATATCTGCCTAATCGATATCTTTAAAGTAACCTTGTTTAGTAAATATTTTTACTAAATTTCAATATAAGCGGGCAAAATTTTGTGGGAGATGTCATTTTGGATAATGGAGTGGGAGATTTTCAACGCAAATTTAATAAATAACCACCGTGGAGGTTCAACGCCAATGCTAGCCCACTAAGCGACAGTAAAAAGAAGGCGTGAACTTCCTAGTTAAGCAGCCGTAGCGCAATGATAGCGTTTTTTAATTCTGTAAAAATTAAAGTAAAATAACAAATATATTTATAAATTGAATGGTTTTGTTACTAAATTTGGTATTAACATAAAAGCAATAAAGTAAATAATATTTAGCACTCGCAGAACACTAAATTTATCTTGTCGTCGAATTTTTAATTAAAGTGTAATACTGATAAACAACATTTAGTTTATTTTAGGTTCGATCTTCATTTGATATTTTGTATGATTTTTTTATACTAAATTTAGTACTTATTAATTTTTTTGTTTTTGTTAAACTTTTTTTTGCCAATTATTAACAATTTTTATTTTTTATAAATGAAAGCTGTAATGGCTTCAAAAATTCAGAATACATAAAATTCAGGATCAGAATTTTGAGCTTAATTTTTCATCGAGTTTCGATTTTCTTGATTACATATTGATTTATTTTTTACGTTATTTGTTTGTTGAATGAGTTAAAAAATAAACTAAAAGTTTTTTTTTTTTCAAAAGGGGTAATAAGGTTTGCTGTTATATTTATTAAATTTTTTAAAAAAAAGTTCCTTACAAAGTTGTATGGTACCTAACCTAGTTTTTTGTTTTAGTATAAACACTATACTTTGATAAAAGTCAATTTGATATGGTATAAGTTATTGAGTACATTCATTGCTTTTTTTTTTTAATTGTAAAATAGCTTTAAAACGTGCTTTTTACATCGATATAGAGTTTTTTTATGTGTACTCGCCTAAGCTTTATTCGCGTTTACGAGCTAACTGTGTATAAAAGATGAATACGTGTTGTTTTGTGATAAAATAAGCCTTGTTTTATAAAATAGACCTATCTTTTTATAAAAATTTTAGTGTTTAATTAATTTATATAAGCTTTACAAGTGATATTTCTATTAATTAGATCTCCTAAAATTTAGTTTCCTGAAATCTTTTAATGTTTATACTTTCTATTTTTAGCGAGGGTAGAATTGTTGGTAACGCATTTTTTTATTGCTTTAAATGAAATAAAATGTATTTTGTTTTTCTATGTTTAGTGACAACTTATTTGTTTGAAACCATTTTTTATAGATCCTTGATGTTTGCTAAAAAATAAAATAAACTTAGTTCGTTTGTATAGATTAGTGGAGTGAGAATTGTACCTTGTGGAGCAACACATTTTTTTTGTAAATCTGAGGAGTTATTTTCAACTGTAATAATTTTTTGTAAAAAATTTTTTTTTTTTTTTTTTTAAAATACATTCAAAGGAACTTTTGTCTTGTAATTTTCTTAGTTTTTTTTCATAATTGATATCATGTTATTTTTTAACATCATGTCACTAAAATTTTGAAACAAAAAACTTTCCAACCTAATCTAGGTTTGACTATTTAAAAATTATTTTTTAAGTCATTGAATAGAAAAACAATAAATACATATAAGTAAACAAATAATTTATTTTACTCACTTTCGGTTTGCGCGACTTTGCCAAAGAAAAAAAAAATTTCATTAAAAAAAAAAAAAAAAAATCATGCGCACAAAAATTTAAAACGAGTTAATAAAAACATAATATCAAAATAATGGGGTTGATATATAGTATTAAACAAGACACAACGCATGTTGTTGATGATATGAAAGACATTCTAACGAACATTCTTAAAATAATAATAAGTGTGGTAACGCTGCTGCAAGATATCGAAGATGTAATTTTAGAGCTAAAAGATCTTTCCGATATGCTTCACTTCTCTATTAACTCGGTTGATCGATCAAAAATTAACGAGCGCTTAAACCAACTTAAACTTGGAGCCGAAAACCTTGGTCAACGAGCCAGAAAAAAACACTCAACTTTGGATTTGATTGGGATGATCATTGAAGATGGAATTAAACTCCGATGTGCAGAAAAAGACTGAAGAAATCTCCGAAAAACGTAAATAAAACCAAGCAGTCGGACGCTTACTATAGAAATTAATTTCATTTTCTGGTGGAAAAAAAAAAATAATTAACGCATTAAAATATTAAATTTTTAAAATATAATAATATAAAGTTATTAAACTGTTTTTCTTTATAAGTTAGAGCGATCTTTTTCTACTTAGCTAATTTCATGAAATTCGATTATGAAAATGTGACCACAATTTCGATTAACGGTTACAGCGTAGCTTAACTGAAAATTTAAATTTTGAAGACAACTAAACAGCACATGTTATGATGCGGTTATTTAGCATAGTCAATGAGTTCTTGCAATGACAAAGGTTTCCATTTTCCTTCGGTTGAATAAAACACAACGTCGCGATCAATGTAAATAACACATTTTCCAAACGAATAAACCGTCTTCCCTTCATGCCAACGATTAGGCAAAGGAATAAAAATCAAGCCATTCTCAACAGCCTAAAAATTAACATTTATCAGTATTTTTCACTGTCTTTTTTAAAAAAAAAAAAACTAAAAAAAACTTACAGCTTGTTCCACAAGGTCCTTAAAACGAGTCGGAATGGAGCTAGACGTTAACGCTTGAACCTTTAATAAAACAACTTTTGAAATGAATAGTGTTTAAAAAAACAAAAATAACAGCAGTTTATTTCTTTGTTTCTAAACTGTGCTTATGCCAAAGAGTTACAAAATACAAATTGATCACCTTTTCAGAAAGAAAAGCTTGTTCTGCTTCGCGCCTAAAACAACAGTTAAAAAAAGAGTCTTTAACTACTAAATAAACATCATCATTAGTAATACTGCTTAATATTAACATTACATCATCGTTAGTAATATTGCGTAACCTTAACTAATACTACTAATAACGTCTAGACAAAAACACCAATTAAAAAAAAATACGTAATCAGCAACAAAAAAACATGTTACACATTCAAACATAAACTTTATGTTAGGCCATAGATAGTAGTTACCAACTTGTTAACCTACATAACTTTACGCAGCTTTATATTTTCTCACCTTTGATATAAAAGGAAATATGATTAAAAATTACAGAAAGTAAATTGATGGAACTTACTAGTAGACACCAATTTTGAAAGTAAAGAGAATAAAATCTGTACACACTTGTTTTCTACACATCAAGTTCAAATAATAAAATCTGTACACACTCGTTTTCTACACATCAAATTCAAATAATAAAATCGGTCGGTTAACAGGTTATTAAAATATGTTGTAAATTTCGATAGCACATGCAATTCGTAGAAGCTCAAAAAATCAATTTTAGATAATCGAACATTAACTAAAATTGATATGTTGGACTTGTACGAAGCACATGTTTATATGACAGGTTCCTAATGTTAAAAGCAAAGTTCTTTGACAACGGGTTGATCTGGGTCACAAAATAGTTTATTAAAAACAATTAAGAAAATACTCATTTTTATATTTTTAGAATTTTTTTTTTAGGCGATTCAATTTTTGATCTAATTATATTAAAGAATCCTTATTTGTGAAACTTCTGGTACTTTGCTGTCATTAGTGTCATACAGTGATCATTAGCTCGAAGACGATTGGTCATTAGCTCGACGACGATTAGATAATTAAATGAATGAATGAATAATAGATCAAATGAATGGACCTTAAAACCTTAAGTCAACTTTTTATATGGTTAATTGGTTATTTATTTACAAATATACTACAAAACATTTTGTAAATTAAATATAAAATCTAAAAACTATAAACTCAAACAACCTTCTTTCTGTGCTTGTTAGATAAGCTACATTTTCCTTTGCACCAGGTTGCATGGTTCCACTAACAGCTTGATTCATCAAGGCCAATGCTCGATTGAACTGCTCTAAAAATAAATATTAAAAAAGTGTTTAATAAAAATAAAAACTATTATCAGTCACTAATAATGACCAAGATATCTATATAACGTTAATGTGTATAATGTGTATTGTAATTTATTGCGTCATTAAAGTTAAATTGATGTAGTCAAGTTTTAACCTTTTGAGGACTTTAAGTAACCATGTCTCACAGTTACTTTTATATTTAATTACCTTCTAGAGAATTTTTGTTCAAAATTTACCAGCTGTTCAGGGATACAGTAAGTAAAAATTGAAAATGAAGAGTTGTTGCAATTGTTACAGTTGTAGTAACTCTCGACGCCTAACAGCCTGAAACTGTTTTTTAAAAAAAAAAAAAAAAAAAAAAAAAAAAGCAAAAAGCAAGATATTTTGCTTATCACAAATGAGAAGTAAGCAAGGTAATAATTGAAGTAAGCAAGGTAATAATTGAGCAATTTTACTCAAATTTTCTGAGCATGATGCTTCCAATATGCATTGTGCATATGAACAACTTTGCAGGAAACATCAGTTGACAGTACATGTAACTTACCCATTATTGAAACAAAATTGCTCGGAAAACAAATGTTACTATTAAAAGAAATCGGTTATTGTAATGCCACTTGAGAGCTTGTAAAATCAGTCAGAGAAGCTTCAGTAATATTGCTAATTTCTGGAAAACAACACATACAATATGAAAAATGATTTAAAAAAATGTTGTTAAAAGTACTGATGCTTTTATTGTTATTAACGTTGTGAAGTAGTGCACCCATGGAAAAATCGAATTTGGTTTTGTTTGAATGTACACATAAATAGAATATGTTGTTATGATGGACAAAAATATTGATGCACAGTTTCATGGCATTATGTGGACTGCTAAATATAAATGTTGTTGCACAATACAGGTAAACTCAACCAATACATCAATTCAACAATATGATCAACTCATGGGTGGAAAATAGTTGGTTGAAACCATATAAAAATAGATTATTTTGTAAATCATGTGTTGTATCATTAATAAAACAAGACTAATAGAAAAATAACAATATATAATATCTTTTATATGTACGCCTTCTTTATATATTCATTATGTACACGGTTAACAAGGGGGCAAAAGCCGATACTTTTAAGGGGCGTGAAGCCGTAAAACTTAGTTATTTGCAGATAAACAGTAACTGTTTTTTATATATATGTGGCATTTGTCCTTCATTTTTTTTGCATATTAGTGTCAATTTCTTTAAATCAAGTTTGTTACTCTAAATTTATTTGAATTCTGGTTGAGGTTATGAAGTCATTCTTTATACCAAGTTATACGAAGCAGTAAACAAATTTTTTAGATTTCTTCAAATTAAAACTCACTAGCAACTGTACCCTCAAAGTGTTACAGAAAAGAGAGTGAAAAAGATGAAAAAAAAATGATTAAAGCAACAAATAACAGCGCCACAAATAGAAAAAAACCACAAAGTTCACTTGAAACTGACAAGGATAAAATATATGTGAAGGACAATTTTTGGCAGATAGAAAAAAGACACCAGCCTAAAAGATCATCACAAAAAAATCACAAAAGGAATCCCAGTTAGCCTTAAGGTAATGGTATAAATCACAAAAAGAATCCCAGTCAACCTTAAGGTATAAAGTGCAATGATTAGGTAATAGAAGTTTTAATGAACAACAAATTTAAAGAACAAAAATAAAGAGATCAGTTAATTTCATCAGAAATAACACTGAGAAAAGGCCCATCTATAGAAAAATGATAACAATGAAGAAAAAAAATAAAGTTAAAATAAAGTAGTGGAGTAAATTAATGTTAAGTACATAACAGAATTTCTGTAGATTCAATCCTGATTTCTGTAAATTCAATCCTGATTTCTGTAGATTCAATCCTGATTTCTGTAGATTCAATCCTAATTTCTGTAGATTCAATCCTGATTTCTGTAGATTCAATCCTGATTTCTGTAGATTCAATCCTGATTTCTGTAGATTCAATCCTGATTTCTGTAGATTCAATCCTGATTTTATACAAATAGGTAAACTAATATGTAAGTATCTGCTCAGACCAAAGTCTTTGTGAATCAACGAGCAAGTGATAAAAAATTAATTTGAAGATCATAAACACTTGTAAAAGATAGGCTGAAACGAATTTATGATAATGATAGCTTTATGTTTAGTGTATAACCAGTTGCCTTATTCCTGTTAACCAACCCTAAGTCAAAACAAATAGTCTCTTGTATTGGCAATGCACACTAAATGTATAAGCTGAAAAAGAATATTCAGATATTGTGAATCAATAAACATGAACAACCTTGATACATTTCAGCAGTAAATGCATATAAACAGCTGCTGATACCACAAAGACCAAAATAAAACAAAGAATAAATATTTTATGAAAACCAGAAATACAGCAATAAGTATCACATGACTGATTGAATTGACTCAACTATTACAAAATTTTCAAAACGTCAAGAAGCAAAATTTTTCAAAAAAATTTAAAAATTTTAAAATCATGAAATCAAAACTATTTAAACTTTGCAGCAATATACTTAAGAAGAACTAAAAGTTGAACTGATTGAATTTTAATTACATTTTACATTATGACTTACAAAACCATGCTGCTGTCTCTCCATATTTTTGATACAGACAAAACAAATATTTCTTAAAATCTGGTAAAATGTTCTTTTAATAGAAGTTAATATATATATCAAGTAACAAAACATGAAACTCCACATTTTTTAGGTTATTTAAATTTGAATTAGAAAAAAAAGTATAAAAAACAACATTTTTTCAAGATGAATAACTATAAAAATTTAAAGTTTTTGAAAAATCTCATTATGCAAGTAATGAAATCAGTTTCATTTTTTATTTTTTATTTCCAAACTGTTACTTAACATGGTTTATTTTGAACTACTGCGTTAGCAAAGTTAAAAAAAAAAAACACAACAACAACAACAACAAAAAAATAAGTTGAATAAAAATTATTTTCATATCTTTGATTTTTTAATATTAAATGAAAATGACCAAAATGTTACCAAAACACCCAAATTAGCCTTAATGTGTTCTGAATGATCATTAAATCAATAACTAAACATTATTTTTATAAATTAAAAAAAGTATGCATTCTTTGCACTAGACGGGAGTAGAAAGTTCTAAAGAGAAATCAAACCTTCATAATTTATACCTGGAAATTTTGAACGCTAAGCACTGTTTTGTAACTTCATAATTAAATAGGAAATTTTTTTTTTAAAGATTTTTGAAACTTGAACCATCAATAAGTCTAAAGCCCTTATGAAAATATCCACAAGGTCTCTACAATAGGTCCAATAATATATAAAAACAAAATTTTCTTTTTTCCCTATAATTTAGAAGTTGTGAAACATTATTAAGCATTTGTTCACAAAGCTTTGAAACTACAAAGACCAGATAAAAATTATAAATATTTGAGTCTTTTCAGAACCTTCCATCCCTAATATTTAATAACCTTTAATGGTTGGATTAGAAGTATACTCTGCACCAAACATTGACTTCCACCCAAGATACCTACATAGAAAGGTTGAGCTGTAACACATAGGTACAACAAAAGGTACAATAAAAAGATACAACAAAAGGTACAACACATAGGTACAACACATAGGTACAACACATAGGTACAACACATAGGTACAACAAAAATGTACATAGTATAAAACAAATAACAATCAATTTAATAACAATTGACACTATATACATATAGTAATTATTATTTATTTAACAAAAAAAGTAATGTTTACAAAAAAATATTAAAATTTCCAAAAAAAATATAATAAATTTTCAAAAACTAAAACAAATTAAAAGAAAATAGTGTTAACGTTGCAGATAAAGCAAAATATTATCACTAGAATTCTGCATTACAAGAATACACAATGACAGTAATGCAGCTAGAAAACTAAACGAAGCGAAAAAAGAAAGAAAAAACATACAAAAAAACGAATAAAAAGCATTATATACATAATTTATATAATAACTGAATTTGTCTGCTTTGGATTGACTTTTAACAAAAATTTTTAAAATGGTCAATGTTCTATTGAATAAGTTTTTATAAAGTTGACTACTTCTCCTCATTATTTTATAAACTTTTACTCCTTCATTACTTTTCTTCTCTAAGCAGATTTTTTTTTATTTTAACTGCAAAGATTGAACTATATTCACAATTACTTTTCTTCCAAATATTATCTGCAATTGTTTTTCCAAAATATCCTAAACACAGTGAAATGCAATTATGCTAAATATGTTAGGTAGATTTTGTTAATGCTAATAAATCACCAGCATACATTATTACTCCTATTTTGATTCTGTGTTAAAAAAAAGTATTTTTAATATCGCATATTATGACTTCAACATAAATTGAAAATAACTAAATTATTTAGGGCCTCCTTGCTTGACTCCGGCTTATGTTTTGAAGATGCTTAAATGATCACCTCTTCTAACAATGAACAGCCATAATACTCATATAATACTCTCCAATTACACCACTACCACTAATTTTATTCCACTAATAATATACTCATCATAATTTGTTTAGTTACTTTATTAAATATTTTGCTAGTGTCAATGGCATCTACATGCAATTTCTTTTTCGCTTTATAATAATTAGCTGTCTCTTTAGATGCATAAATAGCATGAATGCAGAAACTCTTTTTCTTAAAGCCATAATTGCGACTTATGTTTAGTGTACATCTTTTAGGCCTCAGCCATAAATTTTATCATATCATTTAAATATGATACACAACACTATGAGTTCGATCAGGCCAAATATAATATCAGACACAATCACAAACATGTTTGTAAATGAGTCTGTTATTATATTTGGCCTGGTCTAATTCAGATTGTCTGTTTTTGCACATGTATCCTTTAAAATTAGATTTTTCTTACATTTTTTTTTCTAACATTGAAAAAATGAGTAACTGCTAAATTGTATTATTTTTTTTGATTTTGACACATTGTTTTTCATATGATATCATTCGCATTTTAAAAATTTTCAAATTGTTACTTAATCTATCTTTTATCAACAGCTCTTTTACCTCTCTGATTGAAATCATTTTTCAGAGACTTTGAATAAATAAATCTGAAAAATTATAAATAACCAAATCAAAATAACACAAACAAATACTTAAAATACAAATGATTCAAAACTACAAGGAGAAGGATTTTATTGTAAAACTAAAGAACATGTCTTGATTGAATTTGAAATAAAGACCATTATTGCTAAATTAAAGTTGCTGCAGTGAGGACTGAGCTTAAGATTTGTGAATGTAAAATAAGTATGTAAAATGTTTTTCGCTTATTATTATTATGTATTTTATATTTATACAAATGCATATTTATTATTTCCACATCTAAAGTAAATGGGTAGGTATTGCACTGCCGACTATTTTACTAAAGAAATAATTTAAAGAATAAATTATCAAAAACTTTAATGTCTTATTTTCAACAAAAATAGCTTTATGTTAATTTATATATAGATTAGAATTTTCAATTCTAATCTATATATAAATTAACATAAAGCTAGAAATATAGCTACATATCTTTCTGTTTGTTCTCTTAAGAGCCATTGTCTGAGAAATATGGGCAAAATAAGCAAATTCTGGAAGTGATGTCTTCAAAGTGTCTTCATTATCAGATACTTTGTGAAAAACAATGAAAGTAAACCACTGGTAAATTTTTTTTTCAAAAATTCTTATTCGTTTTGGCCCATTTTGTGAAAATCTTTGTGCAAGGAGTGGTACTTTGTGGGGCAATTTTAACAACATGAATATGACACATTTCTTTTTAATTTTTCTGCTAATCTGGGTAGATTTCTACAGTAAAAGTAAAAGTTCAACATGGTTACATTTTAAGTTGTAGAGAATTCATGGTCAATCCAAAACCACTAAATTCGAAATTTTACCCTAACTTTAAGCTCTAATATCTCCTAAGGCTATTACTTGCACATAGTTTTCTTAGGTGTTTTTGAAAGGCACTAAGACATACATTGATTATATGGAACAAAGTTCATGTCCATGCAAGGACCTGGGAAGGAGTAACCTTCCAAAAATCACTTTTTGCCTTCAACGCGCCTTTGTAAATTACCGATAACAACCGTGGCCTTAGGTATGCCATAAACAGTATAAGTTATTTAATTGACTTAAACATGCATCTTCCAATATCTAAAAAAAAATCCATGTGCTTGGATGATTAAAAGCCTACAGAAGTCCTAGAAGTAGCCTTATTTCGCCAAATTTTTATTAAAAAATTTCCTACCAACAGTATAGATATGCTTAGCAACAGCTACTTTACAGCTTTAATAGTACTGTAATTAAAAATTTTGGTATAATACATTTTTATAACGGAACTGTACAAGAGTACCTGACAAAAATATGAAAAATACTTTAAAATCATTAAAAAAAAAATTAGTATTTTTAACAAAACAAAGTACTTAACAAAAGGTTATAAAATATTTGAAAATGAAGACACTTTGAAGACATCACTTCCAGACTTTGCCTAGATTTTTCAGACAATGGATCTTAATAAAGAAATATAAATACAAAGGCCTTTCTGCTTGTTCTTTTAATAAAGAAATATAGATGCATATATCTTCCTGTTTGTTCTCTTAATGATCTTTCTTTAAGAATGTTCTCTTAAAGCACTGAGTAACCTTTTTTTTTGAAATTTTTTTTAAGTACTAATTCAGTCCTAAATCAGATACAAACAACGACTACTTGAGTTGGGAGTTACTAGAAGAAAAAAAGAAATATTGTTGAAGAGAAAGAAAATGGTTGACTGAAAACTTAAAAAACTGTAAATAACATGAATTAGGAAAGCATAAAGATGGGAGAGAGTTCTGAGCATTGATGTGCAAGGTAAAAAACAATATGAATAAAATTTTCTAGGGAATGAAAGAAAGAGCAAGTCCAACTACATTTATAATACTTTTTTTTAGACTTTGTTAACAAAAGAACAGGCATTTTTAGAAGAACCAGCCCAAATATAAAAATAGTATTCCATACATATAAGAGATTTGTAAAGGTAGAGAATGGAATCATAAGAAAGGAAAAAGTTTTAATTGTTTTTAATAGTCAAGTGCAAAAGCAGTATAGTAGCTTTTTGCTTTATAAACAAGAATTTGATCTGAGTTTGATCTCCTCTATGTTGTTGGTAGTACTGTGCTCAACCTGTTTCTCTGTGCAACAGCCTTGTTTGGCAAGATTCATGTTTCAGATTTAAAGGGTTGTGCAAATTGAAAAATAAGATAAAAATCTGTACTCAACTATAGTGAGCATCCTTGATAGTAGTAACCCCTCATTCTTGGATAGGCGAATACAGTAAAAAAAAAAAAAAAAAAAAAGCTGAATTAACTTTCTGATTAGTAACATTTAACTTTGCCAATATTAGAAGTTTAGAATAACTTCTTGATAATTTAATTGCTTTGCGAAAACAATATAACCGTTATTAAAAATAATGATGTCTAAAAAGATTCAACACAGTGGAGAAAATAAACAGTCTTTAATGATTCTTCCTGAATACTAAATCTAGGCTTGGTCGGGAAGCGGGTGCGATTGCACTCGATAATTGACCACGGAAATATTTAGTTGCCAAAAACCGACCAGATTTTATAGTTGTTTTGAGAATATTTTAAAAACAAACAAAAAAGCGCAATAAGATTAACTGGACCGATGAGAGACAGTTAAAAAAAGGAAAATAGCTTTTAACGCGAAAAAACTTTAAGCAAAATAAATTTATTAGAGCAATTATTTTTGAAACGTCAATCTTTTATAATTTTTCTTATAAAATTAAGCGACATTTTTTATATAAAGTAACAACTATAAAGCAATAAATGTTCTTCGATTTATCAGAGTATATATAATTTTTATTTATATACTTATGCCTTATTTCCAGTTGCGGATTGAGGAGGTGGGGTGGGGGTAGTAGGGCTATAGCTCCGGGACTCATAATGTTAGGGGAAATAGTCAAGAGGACTATTCGGTATTTTTTTAGTCATTTTTACGCTGTGGCACATAAAAAAGGCCTCCAAAATAATGCAGCCCCCGGCCCTGAAAAGTCTAACAAGATTCAACCAATAAAACTAACGCTAGATGATTTATTTAAAAATAAAAAAGTTTTTTCAATAACTGTTTTATGCTTCGCGTTGTTTAAAAAGTTTAACACATTTGAAACAATTCTTCTTAGTAAGATAAGCAAATAAAATAATTAAAATTATTGAGTTACTCTATAAATTCAAATAGCTAGATAGAAATTAACTAAAAACGTTAAATTACTTTGTGAGGAGGAAGCGAAATTGCTTCACAATAACGCTGATGATGTTTAGTGAGTGGGCTTTATAATTTAATTAGTATTTAAAACAGAAAAAAAGTAACTTTAAGTATAACGAGTTTGTAAGAATGGCTGAAGCAAAAATAATTGAAGTTAGTAAACCAATTTCTAAGAACTTAAAAACTTTTCTTTCTTGGGGGAAAGAATCAGTTATCAGGTACACTGAGGAAAATGGATTAGTGGTTAAAATTATTTGTAATAACTTTGACGAATATTAATAATTTCATCAAACGCAGTTATTATTGAAAGTATTTTACAAAATCAATCGCACAAATTGCTTTAAAAGATTACATTTGAATAAAATACACATACATAAAATTACATAGATAAAAATACATTACATACATAAAAAATACATCCCTTATATATAAAAAATAAGAATATACTAATAAAATCTATAATATATTTACAAAACATTGAAAAGTTAAAAAATATAAATTTTAAACATTTATAATTGTAAACAAATAATGTTAGTTTAAAACATTTATAGCTTTGTAGATGTGGCTCTAAGAATTAAAATAATAGTTCAATTAGTAGTATATTCTTAAAATTATTTATGCTAGAAATCTCACGAAAACGTAACAAAACTCAAATACAATTTTTAAAAATATTTCCAAAGAATACTCAGGACATTCAGTAAGTATTTTTTTAAATACTCTAGAAATTTCGGTTAGTATCTTTGGAACCATTAGAATTAGTTGTTTGTAGATTTGGCGGGTTTTTTGTGTTCGCGAATATTCTTTTTTTATTTTTTTGCACTAAGATGCTTGAGAACATTCAAGTTTATGTATGTTTCAATGTAAGTCCATAAAACAAAATATTTTAAAATTTACAATAAAATGAAACCTATTAATTTGCGGACAAACAAGGAAACATACATAACTTAAATGGTCTGAAAAAGAAGAAGTATACATAAACTTAAATGTTCTCAAAACGACTATAAAATCTGGCCGGTTTTTCGCAACTAAATATTATTTCCGTGGTCAGTTATCGAGTGCGATCGCACCTGCTTCCCGACCAAGCCTGTAAATCCATTTCAAACTTAAAAATTCATTATTTTTCTATATTAAAAAAAAAACTGTTTATATATGATTGAAAATTAAAACATTTGAAACTATTGGAATACTTGTTTACTGACATTTTAGCTGCTTACCATTTTGTAACTTCATCATAATTTGGTGAATTTAGCAACCACTTTCGTAAAACCTGTAGCAGTTTTGGAAATAAATGTTTTTCTAGTATGCTAACCATATGATGGACACTGATAATATCTTTCCATGCCATGACCCAGTGAAAAGGCTCTAAAGATAATTATTTGAAAAAAAAGCTCTAAAAATTAACTATTAGCTATAAATTAGTCCCTTACAACTCTAAAACTAGGAAGAAAATTAAAAAAAAAAAATAATGAAAAAAAGAAAACAGTTCCTTACAAAAAAGAAAATGTATAAGCACTAAAATAAAACTCAAAAAATTCCAAGCAAAAATTACATTTTTAATTGCATTTGAAATAAATTAGTTCAAAATTTATCTTTGGAAATGTTTTAATAAAGTTACACAAAATGCTTTTACAAATTACTTCTAATGATTGTTTAATGAATGAACAAATTTCGTTAAAAAGTGTTTTTTTAAATTTTTAAATTGTATAAACATTTATTTATCCTAAAAAGTTGCAAATAAAAATTGTTTAAAAAATAATGTAGTCTTTTTAAAAAGTAATTTTTAATCATTTCATTTCTAGTGGGTTTATTCTAAAAAATAACCCTGACAACCCTCAGAATTAGAGTCAGCATTCAGCAATGCAGACCTAAAAGTGTATGAGGTAGGCAAAAAATTGCTAACCTCCTTTATATGCTTTATAATAAAATAAGATCTTTGTTTCAAGTTTTTTTTTGCCGACCTCTAAAAAATTGAAGTCGGCAAATTATTGCCAACATTATTTTCCTAACTCTGAGGGTTGTACTGAGAAAGACTTTTTTTGTGTTTGTGCAGCTATTTGGGGAAAAGCAAATAAAGATTAGCTTAAATGTTTAAGATGCAATCAGTGGGTTTGTGAAGGATATTTTGGAGTTGATACATGTGCAAATTGTGTGCAAAAATATATAAATGGTAAAATACATATAAACACCTTGTAAATTATTAAATAGTCATAATAGTGATACAATTTTTGCTTTAACATGCTATTTTGTGCGCTGGCACAATTAGGCAGTTTTGATTGTTGCCAAACTCATTATTTGATATTTTCTAGAAAAAGTTTAAAAATTGATGTCCTTTTAGATGTTTTAGAAATCAGGAAACTGAAATTAATTCTCTAGCTATCTGTAGGCTATCAGTAGGTCTATCTACATCACTTAGAGGTTGTTTACTATTCTAGATTAAGGTAATCATCCTACTATTACCTCAAAAATAATGTTTTATATAAAAGTTTTTTTTCTCCTGAGTAAGCTGGTTTAATACTAGTAAGGAATTTTATCTATCGCCTAAGTGATGTATTTTTCAATTAGTTTAATAGTACTGACAAATTTGCGCCTCATAACTTGATGATGAAAAAAGAAAGTTCTAGCAAAAGTAACTTTAGAATTTATTTTAATTCAATACAATTCAACCTTTGAAAGCACATAAGCAATTTAGTTATTTGTTTTACATTTGAAAGCACTTAAGCAATTTAGTTATTTGTTTTACCTTTGAAAGCACTCAAGTAATTTAGTTATTTGTTTTACCTTTGAAAGCACTCAAGCAATTTAGTTATTTGTTTTATCTTTGAAAGCACTCAAGTAATTTAGTTATTTGTTTTACCTTTGAAAGCACTTACAGGTGGTTGCACCCCAAAAGCCACGCGAAAGTAGGAGGGTCTAGATTTATTTTCTAAGGACAGATCATAATTTTGTTAATATGGGTTCTGAAAGATAAGCCTAAATAGGGTTCTTCCTGGTAGGTATGGTTTTTTAAGTCTCGCTTGAGTTCTTTTTCTAGAATGTTGAAGTTAACCACACTTTTTTTCATGCACCCCAAAAACAACATTGACAAAATTGGCTATAAAATCTAAACTATTTGGAATTAAGACCTGATTTTTTGTAGAAGATAGTTATAATAAATTAGTCTTAGGATGATTGTATCATTGCTAACTTAAATTTTTAGGATGTACTTCAATGTACCACAAAAACCACATCATGTGCACCCCAAAAACCACGTTGGTTATTTGAATATTTTAGAAAATATATAAAATAATTCAATAAAAAAATTTTAGGATGTACTCTAAGATAGTAGCTCTTTGTCATCATAAAAAAAAAAAAAAAAAAAAGTTAATGTATTGTGGAAATACTACCATTGAACTATGTTATGTTTTTTGTTGTTTTAGAATTTTGTTTAATATAATATTATAAAGTAAAATGAAACCATCATCTGCATTACATCTACGTATAAACAAATCAAGAAATCTCAGTACTAAAGCTGATGCCATAGTGGCCAGAAAACACACAAATGATAAAAATAAACAGTTAGAAGCTGCAATAAATTGGTGCAAAAAATTTAATGGAAGGGGACAAGCAGCATTAAAGACAGGTTTGTTTCCCCTTATTAAAGATAGAGAGACAATCAACAGGCGATTAGATGGAAAAGTGATTAATGGAAAAGAAAGAGATTATTGTACTATACTTACAGATGATGAAGAAGCATCTATTGTGCGTTTTATAAAAAATAAGAACAGATGTTTACAGGCAATTAACAAACAGGACATAACCAAATTAATTATTAATGTGCTTCGTGTGAGAGATTACACTAATACAAAAATGAAAGGTGGACGGAAGTTTCAAAAGTTATCATTAAATGCTCGAGCTGCTCTAGAAAAGGGAAAGTAAGTTTAATTGAATTCATTTAATCTACAATGATCCTATAAAAGTATGTAAGACGGGTAATATGACTCTTTTCTTTATGTAAATATTCCATTTTATAGATTGAGTCGATCATTTTGGCTTCGTTTTAATGCTAAACATAGCAGCCTTACAATCAAACGCCAAGGGAGTGTCTCGATAAACCGTGCACTTAATTGTTCAAGAGAAATGGCATGTAACCATTTAGGTAAGTTATTAATGAACAAATATAAATTCATAAATCTGAATGTACTTTTTTTTTTAATTTGTTCATTTCCCTATAATAACATTATTTCAGATTCCCTTGCTAAAGAACTAGTAGATGTTGGTATTATGATAAATGAAAAAATGATTGAAACAGGGGTTTGGAATGGCACTGTTGATACATGCCGAATATTTAATTGTGATGAAACACCCCAGTTTATTAATTATGGAATTGATGGTACCACTTCTGGATTATTTTATGCTGGCAAAGGAGATGCATGTCAAAGAATGTATAGAGAAAACAGAGAATGTGTCACAATTCAACCATTTGTTTCATTTTCAGGTATGCTATAATATGTTATGGTTCAAGAAAAAATTGAATATAAATAAATACAAGCATTAAAAAACTTTTTTATTTTTTATTTTTAGGCGACATATGTATGTGTCAGGTAATATTTAAATGTACTGGTATTATTAGTTCTATGGTTCCAACAGAAGCAGTAAATAAAATTCCCCATTTGTTGGTCACAACTACAGATAATGGAGTATCAACCCATGAATCTTTCTTGGCAGCATTGAAAGAGTTTGATGTCTACTTAAATGAAAAAAATGTTAAGCGACCCATCGTCTTATTATCAGATGGACATAGCTCTAGACTAGACTTTGATGTATTATCTTTTTTGGAGTCCAAAAGAATTCATCTTTTTCTTACTCCACCAGACACAACAGGAGTTACTCAACTTCTTGACCAAGTAAACAAGAACATTCATAGTGAGTATCGTAAGCAAAAAGACTCTATGTTTTCTGATATCTGTTCCTTAAACAAAGAAGCTTTTATGTTAGTTTTAGCTAATATATGGGACAAGTGGACAACCAAAGAAACGCTTGTAAAATCTGCTAAAAGGGTTGGTGTTGCCGAAAATGCATTGAGTGTTGATTTTATGCAAAAAGACAAATTCGAACGAGCAGAAAACTGTATTGAACCAGAAAAACAGACTTCTCCACTAATTTCTTCGCCGGATAAAAGACGTGGTTCAGCAAATTATTGGAAATCAAAATTTGAACAAGCGATGGAGTTGATTGATGAACTTCATGAAAAGAGCATTCAGCTGGAAGAAATACCTGGTTTTATGACAACCAAAAAGATAAAGCCAAAATTAACAAAAGATGCAACACGTGTTACCCAAGTACATGGATCAATGACTGCAAGCGATGTAATAACTCTAGTTGAAAGCATAAAAAGAAAAAAAGAAAAAGAAAAGGAAAAAAAAGAAAATGCTGCAAAAAAGAAAGAGGAAGTTACAAGACTCTTTATAACATGTAAGCTTCAATGCTATTGCGAGGAGATAAAATGTAAAGCTTTTGGCTTAAAGCAGTGTCCAACCTGCCTCAATATAATGCGGTCCATTTGCAGCAAAGCAAACTGCAAAGTAAATGGAAAAAACCCAGAAATGATTTTATCTGCAGCTGCTAGAAAGAAATAACTGTGATATTCAAAATCTTTTTTATTGAATGAACTATTTGTTTTAAATTTGTTGTAAAGACTTGTTCTGGATAAACTTTTTTTTTTTAACTTTTTCTTAGCGCACCCCAAAAACCACATGTTAAAATGTAATTTTTAAACTTTTTTTTACAAGTTTCCCTTCTACTTATAATAAAAATGGTTTGATTTATGTAAATAGCATCTAAAAGATAAGCAAACTAGATGGGATTTGCAAACTTAGTCTAAAAAACCAATATTTTATAGCAATATTACTTAAAACTCAATTATTTTTCTCAGCACTTTTTAAGTTTAAAACGGTTGTAAAAAAAACTCCTTTATTGTTAATATTGATTTCTTTTGTTTTAATTGTTGCTGAAACATTCCTTTATGAGAAAAAATTTCTCATATGGTTTTAAAATGCATATTTAAATTTTTAGAGCCTTTTAACTGACCGCGTTGTTTTTGAGGTGCCTTGGTTTTTGGGGTGCATCTACCTGTAAGCAATTTAGTTATTTGTTTTACCTTTGAAAGCACTCAAGCAATTTAGTTATTTGTTTTACCTTTGAAAGCACTCAAGCAATTTAGTTATTTGTTTTTCATTTGAAAGTAATCAATTGAGTCATAAAATAATTTAAAACATTTAAAAATTGAAACATAATTAAATACATCACAAATATAAATTTTTTTACACAAAATTACATCTCAACTTATTTTTTTTTTAACTTTTTAAAGTGTAACCAATTGAGACATTATGTAATGTTAAGAAATCTATACTTAAGACATAATTTAGTTATGCCTTAAATCTAGATTTATTAATGTTACCTTTTAAATGGTTAAAAACATGTTAAAAAGTAAAAAAAAAACAAAAAAACAATTGCAAATTGAAACTTTATTTTTTTTTTGTGACAAAGTAACCAATTAACGAAGCTATTTTACAATAAAAACAAATTAAAAGATGACAGTTAGCAATACGACAATGATAAACATTTACTGTGTTATCAAGTTTATTTACTTATTATTTCAACTAAAAATTATAGAATGTAACCTTGTTACCAAATATAACCAATTGAGATGTAAACATTTTAATAATTGTGACGAAGCTTTAAAATGTTACAGGAAAAGGTGTGCATGTTATGACGAAAGATTGTTTCTTATTTAAAAATATTTAACCTTAACATAAAAAAAGTTTTAAATAAAAGTGAGTAAAAATAAACAACCTAAAATCTGTTGGTGAGGATTTATTTTGAATTCGCTCATACATTGTTCAAGTTTCGGGTAAATGCTTCTTATCAAAAAAGCTTCCATAGTGCCTCGAGAAAATACCTAGAATTTTGAAAATTAAGTATAAAAAAATAAAAAAATTTCAGAAAAAAAACTAGACAACAGAGCATAAAATGTGCATACAAAAATAAATACAATATAAAAAATCAATTAACACCTGCAACAAAAAAACCTTTGTGCACAATATGCTTAAATAAAAAAATTAACATAAACAAAAACTTAAACATAAAAAAAAATATTTATAAAATATAAAAATTATAAAATAATTAATTAAAAAATATTAAATTTATAAAAAAATTATCAAATTCATAAAATAATTTTAAAAAAATTATTAAAGAAATGTATGCACACATACCTTAACCCAAGGTTCTAAAATAACTTTAGCAGATGGGTCTGATGGATACCAATTAGTAAGTGCAGCAGACAGTTTATGTCGTATAGGTGGGTACAAGGGTTCAAGTCGATCACCTAAATTAGAAAATGCACTAACTGAGATTATTATTGTTACAAAAATATAGACCTATAGATATCTAAGAGTTTCTAAATAGCTGTCCAGAACTGTAAAATAATAGACCATAAGTTTATTCCACAAAGATTATTTCTATACTTATTTACTTCATTTTTTTTTTAGTAAATGGTACAAAAACATTTTATTTAAAAATTACTCTTATAGCAAAAAAAAAAAAAAAAAGGAGATTTTCCACATACTAAAGGCATTTATTTATTTCGAAAAAAAAAAAGTCCAAATTTCCTACTTTAAGAAATTTATCTCTTTAATTTTTTTTTTTTTTTTTGCTATAAGAGATGAATTATTTTTCTACCGTTTACTAAAGAATATTGAAGTAAATAAATGTGCATTAAATGTGGAGATTTACCTAATTGATAACATAAACATAATGTAAAAGTGTCAAACATAATCTCAAACATAAATGGCAATTACATGACATTTCTCCAAGCGTTTTTGAAATTTAAGGATATAATAAAAATTTAACCCTCTCATTAAAACTTATTTAAAAAGCAAAAGAGAACCCAGTAAACGGGTCACAGGTGTTTATGCCAAATAACTTAACTCTATTTGTTTGACTTTTCTTGTAGCAACTTTTTTGAAGTAAACTCTCAAAAATTTTTAATTAAGCTATTTTTAATACCGGTTTTGGTGGATTATTAAACTATGACATAAACTTTAGCAAGTAAGAACTATCAAGGAGGAAGGTTTGAGGGTGCTAAGATTTAATAACTATGTCATAAATTTTTATAGAAAGTTTTTTTTAATTCCTTAACTTAAGCATCATTTTTTTCATATCCGATGGGATATAAAAAAAATGACTTTTAATCTTGCTTATCTTTTTACAATACAATAACATAAATACAAAAATCTATCCTTAAATATACAATCCACAAACTTAACTTGCTCACTTTCACCAGTACTGCATTTGTACATAACTTTAAATAAGTGGAATTTTTACATTTAAATATTAAATATATATATATTTTTAAATATCATATTATCCTCTATAAAAAATAACCAGTGGTTTAGTGTGCTGTTCTCAATGCCAATACCTTAACATTTTCATTGGTTCAAATCCATTGCCAAAAAAAAATATTTTCAGTTTTTTTTTGCTTCTTTATCATTTTAGTGATAAATTTAGTTTTTAAATACAGAACAAAATAGTTTAAACAAAAAAGACTTATAATTGTAAGAATATTTTTAAAAGTTATCTTATTTTATACATATATTATATATATTATCTTATTTTATACATATATACAACTTGAAAACTAAACTTATTGATATTTACATTAACAGATTTACATTAACAATTTTTGTATGTAAATTTTATACAAATGGAATTTATACGTTAAATGTAAATGACACATTGTTATCAATGTACATATTCAAATTTGTACATTAATTTCTTATACTTCTAAAAAAAGTGCTGAGTGCTCTTTATTTTCCAGTTCTTTGCATGTCAGGACAAACCCTTTTTCCTAAGTGAGATTTTAAAAACAGACTGTGTTACAAACCTTGCCTAATGCTCATATCTGAATGCTGCAACTTAGTCAAATGCCATTACATACATACAAACATACATACATACATACATATATATATATATATATATATATATATATATATATATATATATATATATATATATATATATATATATATATATATATATTTATATTTATATATATATGAATTGAAACTATTTGAATATTTTTTTATATTTATTATTTTTCTAACTTTTTTAAAAATAAACTTAGATGTAGATGAATTAACAAATTAAAAATATGTAAAAAAAAAAACAAACAAACCCATTAGAGGAAGCCAAGGATGTATCCAGGAATGTATAGGAACAGGGTCTGTCAAAGGATTCCAGAATTCAACAGCTGCCTAAAAAATAAACTTTCTATTTTTAACTTCAAAGTAATACTTTTAAAAAAAATTACACAATAAATAAAAATAAGATATTAATTTCAAATATTGATTGCACAAATATGAAATACTAAAGTTGTTTAATATTTGTTATTCATACATATAATATTTACATATATACATACAACACTTTTTTTATTTAATAATATTAGTAAATCATTAAACAAAAAAGCAATAGTTACATAAAACAAAATGTTTTCATACAAAAAAAACTTTAGACTCAGTGAAGGTATTTAGTAAAGATCAATTATTTACTGTTATAGTTGGGTTGTTAAAAAATTTAAAACTTTCTCAAATCCTTATTCTGAACCATGAAGAAATTGAATTTCAAAAAATGTCATTTAAAAACTTGGTCATTTCACAAAAAGAACCTATAAGTCTTCAGCCAACTCTTGATATCTCACGTAGAATTCAAAAACTTAATAAAAATTAAAATGGTTTTCTCATTTTACATTTAACAATAATAACTAAAAGATTGTACTATGAGTAAGATGGAAACAGTGAGGCCTCACTTTTTCTTTTATCTTACCAAACCTCACTGTGAGCCTTTTTTTAATATTTGATTGTTTTCTCTATCACTATAAATGTCCTATTCCTTGAATGGAATAATACCATATCTGGACAGGCCTTGTAAGAATTTTATCTTTTAGAGAGCCTGCTCCCACTTTTAACAGCAAGAGTTGCATCATTAAAAAATAAATAAAATGCGAAATGTGACTCAAAAAGATAAGAAAATAGACAGAGAATGGGAATAGCAAACATAATTTTTTATGATATTGATTTTACTCATATTTGAACCTTTCTCATTGTAATCCAATGGCATCATTTTCACCTTTCTACAAACACTATCATATTCAATGCTCAAATGATTTTGTTACATGATTTTGTGAACTTGCTGTGCCTACAAAAACTCAATATCATGCTACTTGCTTAGCCAGTCACATATTTTCAAAATGTTTCCACTTTTGTGCTTAAAAAAATTTTATTCGTCTAATTTATTACAGCTTATAGATCAATTTTATGGAACTCTACTCCTTTATGTTTTCAGTAATCATATGATTTGTATTTTTTGTCTTTTTTAATTTTTAAACAACTTATTAACAACTGACAAATATAAAATTTCTTTTTCTTCTAAAAGATTGAATCAGAATAAAAATTACCTATAAATTCTTCTAAAAAGTATTCAGATTTGTATTATTATAAAACAACTTATTGCTCATCTCTTACACTCTAGTCTATGTTAGTTAATGCACATGTATGTTAGTGAACACACAAGTATGTTAGTTAATGCACATGTATGTTAGTTAAAAGAAAATTATAAGTTAATTTTATAAAAAATATTTTTAGAATAAAAATTACCTATAAATTGGTGTCTTCTAAAAAGTATTCAGATTTGTATTATTATAAAACAACTTATTGCTCATCTCTTACACTCTAGTCTATGTTAGTTAATGCACATGTATGTTAGTGAACACACAAGTATGTTAGTTAATGCACATGTATGTTAGTTAAAAGAAAATTATAAGTTAATTTTATAAAAAATATTTTTAGTAAAATTTTTTTGCTGAAGTCAAAATATGTTATATTCATAACAAAATACGTCACGCATGATTTATGTGCGACTTACTTCAATTTTAATTTATGCGGTATAAGTTCAAATTAAAAATGATTTATTTCTTCTATTTGAAAGCTTAATCCAGTATGTTTGTTTTTTTTAATTTAAGTTGAACTTTATCAGATTATCTGTTTAATCATTCCCTGGTTAAGTCAAACCATTCACTTGTATATTTTTTTAGGATTTGTTTGACAAAAAACTTGGCTTAACTAGAACTTTTACATTGCATAAAAGTCAATGTAATAAAATATCAAAACTTGCAACACTTCAATGAAAATTCCAAACTTAAATGTTAAACAATTAAATATCTAGTGTAATATTTATAAATATTAAGCGTAATATTTATAAATACCTTATAACTATCTAGCCTAAAAAAGTTCAAACTAAAACTTCATTTAATGCTTAGATTTTGTACAGGTTTGATCACATTCTATTAATTAATGACCTATCATATTTAAAATTCAAAAACATTAAAATGTTGGAATATCAAATATTTTTTTGTCAAATTTAAGTTAATATAAAACTAAATATATTCACTGGTATTTTTGAATCAGTTAAGCTTATATTAAAGTCTATTTAATTAAAAAAGTTAAAGCAAAATGCAACTTAAAATTAAAAAAATAAAATGTTTTACTAAACAATACCTATAGTATAGAATTTGTTATACAATTTGTTATATATATTTGAATTAAAACTGTTGAAAGCGTGCTCACAAACAACAAGAAAAAATGTTACATCACTAGTTTCACAAACACATTTCTCAAAATTAACGTCAGTAAATAAGTTATTTATACATTATAGTTGTATAAGTATATATAATATAACATATATTATATTAGTATAAGTCTATTATATATTTATTAAGTATACAATCAAATATATTCTTTTAATAATATTTAAATGGCGCATTCAGTTTAAATTAGAAAGCAGTTTTCTATTTTGTACGAACAATGAATGAAAAGTTATGAAATCATTACTGCCAACATTAGAATGGAATGAATGAATGGAATGTTTACTATTTTCAAAGGGATTAGTCCTGATGAAACTAGAAAATTTAAATTAAAAAAATAAAACTTGATTGAATTTTGAACAATCTAAATTCAAAAGATTTTGTAAAAGTGTATGTATAACTATGATTCTTTTGCTTTATTGTTTTTAATTTTTCACACTTTTGTAAATAAAAGAAATATTCCTAATCTTTTTTTCTCTATTTTTTTTTACTATAATTTACTTTAAATTAAATTAAAAACGATTCTGTTGTTTAAAATGTCCGCAATCAAACATGTTAACTCCAAAAAGTCATGTTAACTCCAAAAAGTCATGTAGTCATCTTTTAGTAAATGGCAATATTTCATTGTTTTTATTTAATATTAAAGCTACAAAACATATTTTTTCTGGAAGATAGACAAATGTATTAACTAAAAAACCAAAGTTTTTTTGTCTGATTTTTGGGCTTCACTTAAAATTTTATTCATCACATGCACTGATTTGGTTATATTTGATGTTTGTCACCATCATTACCAATGCTACTATAATTTGATTATTTAGTTATATTTGATGTTTCCTTTGGGTGAACTAAGCATCAGCATTGCCATTATTGTAACACGATCAGATGATATTTCTACAAACAACAGGAAACATTTATCCCGCACTTTTCTCTTTGAGTTCTGCTGGATTTAATATATCCGACATTATACATTCAGAGTAAATTTATATGTATTATCTAGATCTTATTTATTTTCTGTGTCTATGTAAACTACATATGTACAACTATTTGTGATGGTCTTCAGCTTACAATAAGTAAAAAGTATAAGCGATTCACTTAAGTTTAACTTATTGTAAGCTTTAGATCATCTTTCATATATCATAAGACCAAATTTCATGGATTTATTAGCTTAACCACATATAACTAAAATGGAAGTTTAAGCAATTAAAACTTTTTTCTTTTACACATTGATGTGTAGTAATTTATAAATGTAATACATGTAAAAAATTGAAATCAATTATTAAAAGAGTTTGAAATAAGATCAAATTAAAAACATAACTTAAAACAAAAAAATTGTTTTATACTTGTAACTTTGGCAATATTAATTGATCTAATATGTTTGCAACTACCCAATCTGGAATAAGTTGTACCCAAGCTTCTAATACAGAAATTAAAGGATCGGGATTTTTAGCTTGCCAAATTCTGTTATTGAAAAAATAAAAAACAATAATAAAAATAAAATACAAACATTAGAAATAAAGAAATAATTAAATTCTAAATGTTTAATAGTTTTTATTCAATGAGTACGAAAACAGTATTAAATTATTTAATACAAAAAATTATTTTTATTGTATCATATGTATGGTGCAAACATTAAAAAAAATTATATATCAAATTATATAATATCAAATTAAAATTATAATTCAAAATAAAAAGGTTTTTACTAACATTTGATAATTTTCTTAATAAACTTCCTACTTTTTAATTATTCTTTAATTTTATTTAAATTTTAAATTCTATTTAGATTTATTATTATAATTATAATTTATAATTAATAACTACTCCTAATTATTATAATTAGACCATCCTTAATTATTATAGTTATAAAAGTAAAACATGAGTGCTAGCAACATAAAAACAAACATGACTTATGTGGGTGATTGCATAGTGTATAACCATTACAAAAATATCCTATATTATTTATATACATTATTTATATACATTAACGTCATGTGTAATTCAATAAATATCTTAGTACATTGCTACAACATCACGTGACACAACATCACGTGACACAACATCACGTGACACAACAACACGTGACACAACATCACTTGCTACAACATCAAGTGACACAACATCATGTGCTACAACACCAAGTGACACAAAATCACTTGCTAAACAAACACAACTTTTAATGGAAGATGGTAAGTCTGAGCAAAGGATAAATTTAAATTAAATTACAAGAAATACAATATATTACTGAAAAATATTACTGGAATAAATTTCTGGAACATAATACTGAAACAAATTTTTGAAACAAATACTGAAACAAAGTTTACACTAATCAATCAATCAAAGCAAGATCATGGCTAATAACAAAAGAGCGGCAAAATTATTAAAATTTAATTTTTATTTCATCAATTCAATTTGCATTTACATTACAGGTTGCATTTAAATGTATAAAATCAATGTTGCATTATGCTACCACAAGGCTACCACATTAGGCTGCCAAAAAAAAATATTTTTTTCACAAAAGCAAAATAAAATCTTCAAAGATTCATTTGATTTCAAAATAAAAAAATTGTCAATGCACTTCATTCTTGATACACACTACCTAATTGAATTCAAATTGAATCATTAGAAAAGACTTAAAAGAAATCCAAAAAAGTCGACATAAAGCAGCGGACTCAATAAGAGTGTTGTCATTCATCAATGTTCAAAGTAGTTTGTGTTTCTGTGTTAAACATTAAAGTTAACATAAAAGCGATAAAAACTTTCATATATTAAACAGTGATAATTAGTAAAAAACAAAATCTGTAAAACATAAATTTGGATGCACAGTATTGTTGCAATGCACAGTATTGTTACGATGCACAGTATTGTTGTGATGCACAGTATTGTTGCAATGCACAATAAATTACTTTGTAACTGACAATGCAGCTAATTTTTTTTGCTAATTGATGAAAAGTGCTGAAAAACAAATTCTGAAGATTTATGTGTGTTAATGCAAATAGTTTATTATTTCTATCTAATGAAAAAGTAGATAAAACTTAGCTCATTTCCAAAATTTTGGTTCTAATATCTCTAAAAATTTTCCAGATATAGAATTTGAGAAATTTTTTCTAATTAATATTAATGCAAAAAGTCAAATTTGCTTCATTCAATAGAATCTATTTGTATAGTGAATTCATTTTATGAAATGTATCACTAATAAAAGAATGAAGCTTCTAAAAATTAAGGATTTTGCCATTATAAGGGCAATTAAAAGGTCACTAAAGACACCAGCATCTAATGCAGCAATAAAAGAAACTATTCTAATTCAATTATTCAATTCAATCAACTCAAAATTGAGAAACAAGATTAGAGGAATGTGTTGAGTTCCAAAAAAAAAAAAAAACAGTTCCTTGACAACTCGTTGCTGTGATTTGACAAGGTTATAACTGAAATAATTAAATTAGGAGAATTTTAAAATCTTTGAACTTTTTTTTTAATGTTTAACTAAAATTATTTATATCATAGTTTTTATATTTGTTCATGTACTCTTTTTTTGGTTGGTATAAAAATACATAAATAAAAAATAAATATTTATATTTAGACATTAAAAAAAAAGAAAAAAAGATTTATTTGCTATTCTCCTAATATAAAAAACACTTAAAACCTTGTCAAACCAACCGTGATGAATTGGAAAAGTTCCTGTTATATACAACTGGAAATGTTCCAGTAAATGGACTGTATATAGGCTAGCTAACATGCTGCTAAAAAGAGCATTAAATGATTATTTATTGACAAATACTGATGAATTAGCAGTTCATTCAAAAAGAATAGAATTTGTGTTTTAACGCCTCATAATTGTGAAGTGAAATCTCCTTTCTAATTTTTATGTAATTTACAAAAAAATTTTCCGAAAGTACCTTTTGCCATAGTAACTTTAATTTAATGTGTATTTTTTTGTACAAATACAATAAAAAAAAATTGAAAATCAATTTCGACTATGAAAAATCATTCAAGTGAAGCATTTATTTTAAATATTAGAATTTAAACCAAGAAAAAAAATATTTGAGATTTTTCAAAAATGCAAAAAAAATATTTGATTATTTTTGACCCTGATTTATTTCATTTCAATACATTTTTTATTTTTTACGTGTAAAAAATAAAAAAGTATAAAATATTAAAAAACAAAAATAGAGTTGTATATTATTAGACTATTATTTATTTTTGTTGTTTATTATTACTATTTTTAATGTTTTAAAAACTTCAAATAAAGAAATAATTTATTTTAAAAAACAACACAAATCACCCAATAGCAGTGCGAATATGTGGCATCCATATCTCCCAAATTATTCTTTCAAATGGACTCATGCTGTACAAAAAGGTTTTTAATAAACATGCAAAACCAAAAATTTGAAATACAAAAAAGCATGATAAAAAGTAAAAAAATTGATAATTTATTTTATCAAAAATAAATAAATAAATTTGAAAAGACAAAAATTTATTTTCTTAAAATATTCCAAATACCTTCTATTTTCTTTTGTTTTTTCAAACTCTATATTTTTTTGTTCAGATTCAAGAACATTCTTCCACAGTTTGACATACTCGATACCATGTGTTGGTTCACTAAAAGGTTGCCAGGAGCTGAAATGACGGGCTAGGAGTGGAAAACCCAAAGGAACTACTAGTTTATCCAAATTATATAACTAAAATTGAATAAAAAATGGACAAAGTTAAAAAAAATTTGAATGAACTTGTTATTTAGAAGCATTTGAAAATGCATAAAATATTTAAAGACTACCTTTAACTAATAATATGAATTTACCCACAATTCTTTATTTGGTTAAATAAATTGAACCACATAAAGAATTGTGGGTAAAGTTCACAAGCTAAAACATGTCAAAAAAGTCTCCCCCTCAATGATTTTTCAACAAAAAAGAATTTTTTTTTAAGCTTAACTTTAGATTTTGTTATCCACTTTTTTATTTATTTCCAATTTGTATCAAATAACATATTTATAACAAGGAATTTATACTATTATAATTATATATATAATTATAAAAAAAAAAATTCATTAAATCAGAAAAAGCGCAAGTCAAAAAAGATCACCCCTCGACCACCCCTTGAAAATTTTGCTAATAATGTTAATAGTCAATTTGTCAGCCATATGCCTTAATGACTGCAAGAAATCTTTTAGGCATTAAATCTACTCAGTTTTTTAAACACTGCGTGACAAAATATTTCCACTCCTTAATAAGAATTGCCTTTGGTTGAGATAAACTGGATGGTCTTTGTTAAACTATTAAACTTTGATTTTAAAAAAGAATCCAGTTAAAAATTATGACTCCATAATTTTCAATTGGATCGTTTTTTTTGAACAACTGAGTAGCTAAATTTTATGTTTTGAATCACCATCCTGCTGAAAGATGAAAATACGAGCTCTTCTGGTGCATAGTCACAGTTTTTATTTCATAATATCAGAATAAAACTCTTTAGTCATTAGTCGCAGTCTCGTACATTTATGATTCAAGTGTTCACCATTTTTTTCTCCATTTAGATACAATATTATTGGAACTAAACAAACATAGTTTTGTTTCATCTGACCATAAAACTCATTGCCATTGATAAAGAGTCCAAATATTCCTTAGCCCAAGTCAATTTTTTCCTTTGATTCTTTTTACTCAAGAAAGCTTTTTTAGGGCAACTCCACTGACAAAAACTTTATTTTTCAAGCGATTGCAAAAAGTTTGAGGATTTACAGTTTTACTATGATCTGTTTGTAAATCTTTTGCTAGCTTTGGTGCATAGAGTCCTTGATCAACTTTCCAAATAATTTTTCTATAAAAGTCATAGCTGGATGTCATTTTCTTGGCAAATTTTTTATGGTACCCATTTTTTCAAATTTTCTGATGATATTTATTTGATATTATTATGATACACTATTATGTTTAACATTTACTATTTTAGAAATAGTTTAATATCCTTTTCCGCCTTTATAGCCTAGGATCAATTTTTTAATTGATTTCTGAATGTCGTTTTACCATGATTTTATTATCAAGAATTTATGAAAAAAACCTTTTTGGTTAAAAAAATTGTTTGAATAACTTCAATCAATCAAATTTGTTTGTTTACAAGTTTTTTCCTCCAATTTTAATAACTCATACAACAGAAAAACTAAAAAAAACTTAAGGGATGATTTGACTTTTTTGACTTGATTTAAAGGATAATATTTTTTTTTAAGTATAAATGTTTTTTATAAATTGTTATTTGATAGGTAAAAAATTTAAATTTTACTTAAACTTTTTTTGGATCTGATAATTGACACGAAACAACCCGTATATGATTTTTCTGATTCAAAAAATATTTTTTCTAAGTAATAAGGCACTAAAAAATACAAAATTTTAAATATCTAATTAGATATCTAATCGATATCTAGCCAAAAAAGTAGTTTTATTACATTTGACTGCATAGAATTACATACGTTAGAACAAAAAATAATGATCTCTCATGGAAACTATATACCCGATCATTTGTTCAAGTCTCCTAAAGTTGCATCTCATTATCATGTTTACCATTTTCTTACTCCTGATTCTTTTCTCTGACTTATTTATCAATGTATGGAAACTACTACCATAATTAGACTGATTCTTCTAACAATGCTCTTTTTCTTTCAGACAAGATCCAAAAATGTAATGTAAATGAATTTAGACCTGCTCAACCCCCTGAACCTAACCCAGCTGTCAAGCTTGACCATTTAGTCCCATCACTCTAAAAGATTGCATGTATTTCACATTTTTACAAATATTAAAATGGTTGTTACTCAAGTGAGCTACCATCTCTTATTCCACTAACCAAATGCAACTATGTGACTTGTTGTTCAGTACAGTTGCATTTTATTACTGTAACTTTTCCTTCATGCTAAAATATATTCATTTAGTTTTTTTTTCCTTTCTCAATGCATCATTAATCTTTGCTTTGGAATATTCTCCAATCTTCATGTTTTCCTGACTATTACAGTTTTTTTAATTTTCTGTCAACTATTTTATTGTTTTTTTTCTTGTAGATTCCACCTCTCTGACATGGATTCTAGTATAGATTTCAATCCTCTCTTTTTATAGCTTGTTAACTTGTTAACCTGTTGCTTTTTGAAAGATATCCTGTTGCTTGCAGCCTTGTTGTAAGATATAGATATAGTGGTAAATTCATCAAGGCTTATGATGTATTTTTGTTTTGGAGTTTTACCTGCTGGCAATCATTGTGTTTTTCTTTTTGTTTTGATGATTTAAACGTTTCAGAAATGAAAAACTGAAAAAAGAAACATTATTCTAAACTTAAACTTAAAAAAAATTAAAAAACTAAAGAATAAGTAAAATAATTCCCAACGAAAATAAAAATAAATTTTAAATAAACTTTTAAATAAAATTAAAAAACTTGAAGTTGAAATTAATTTTTGTTACATTTTTAGTTGCTTTTGAAAAAAATTACTTTAAAAACTGTTTTTTATATTTTATTTTTATATATAGTTTAATTAAAGTTATGCAAAACCCTTTTACAAATTACTTGTATTGATTGTTTAATAAATGAACAAATTTTATATAAATTATTGAAAAGTGAAATTAAAAAAATGTAACATTATTTAGTTGTATAAACACTAGTTTCAAAAAGTTGTAAAAAAAAATTGTTTAAAAAACAATGTAGTCTTTTTAAAATCGTAATTTTTAATCATTTCATGCTTTAATTAGTAACTCAAGCTTAAAAAAAACAAAAAACTTTTAAACAATTTTTTGTAAAAATTGATACAAAAAAAAAAAATAATAATAATAAAAAAAAAAAAAAAAATAAAGCAATTAAAACATGGGAAGACTTAATTTAACTTATTCATAATTTAAAGTAAATTAAAAAAATAATCTTTTAAAAGATTTTTAGAAAGACATGGAAAAATAGTTTCAAATGTTTAAATTTACCTTAAAAAATACATACCTACTTAAAAAAAAATTAAGTATAACATTTAATTTACATATAATGTGTTTATTTTAAACGATTATTATAACTAATTTTTGATTTTATTAAAAGCTTTTGCATAAAATAAAAACTTTAAAAAAAAGATCAATGATTAAAAGTTATTTGCAACATGTTTTTTTGTTGCGTTAAAATTGTAAAACATCAAAACAGCCGTTGTCAAATTGTAAAGAAAAATAAGCGCTGTCAGTTATAGTGTGAAAATTTAAATCTATCTAATAAAACCTAAAATATCTAAAAAAAACGTAGAACATTAAATTGAAACCATTTTATTCAAAAACAAAAATCTGCAATGAAATATTCTAAATAATAAGAAAATAAACTCGACTAACGTTAAATAAACTGAATATTATGACAAAGATTTTTATTAGATTTTAAAAATTTGATCAAACACTATCCCACCCAAACAAGTTTTGATTGGATCTTTTAAAGAATTAAATTGAGCCCTGATTAACACGAAAAAATTTCATTACATCATAAGCTCTGTTGATGGATACATCTTGAGAAATTGATTGTTTTATGTGACTATCTAAAATAAAAAATCTAAAAAAACATACTATAAAGTATGTTTTTTTAGGTAGATTATTTCTAGTGATTGCTTGATTTATTTTTTAAATCGCTTGGATTCTGCCGCTAATTATTTAATAAGCGTATTTTTGTGATTTCCAGCGTATTCCCATACTGTCAACATAGTTGAAAACAATAATTGTTTGTTAATGTCTATTAAATCTACTTTTTTAATTACTTTTGCAATTAATAGAACTATATTTCCATTTTAATTATTTAACAGTAACAGCTGATTGCTGTTACTGTTTAACAGTTCATCTGGATTAATAGGTTACTTGTTTTTTTACTTAATTAATAGGTTATTTGTTTTTTTACTTAATTAATAGGTTACTTGTAACATAACATCTTTCAGGATATTTTTATACATGAAACGGTCCATTATTCCATCGTTTCGATGTATTGGACCTAGACCGTTAGCAGAAAAACACCACCAGACCATTACATTGCCATGCTTCACGGTCTTATGGAAGTAACGTAAATTGAGGTGTTTTCTGGCCAATCGACATACACGGCAAATGCTATTGCTCCCAATGATGTTGAACTTCGATTCATCACTGAACAGGACAGTTCGCCATTTCTGCACATTCCAGTCAATATGAGATATAGCAAACAGGAGTCTTTTCTTCTGGTTCTTTAGTGAAATCAGCAGTTTCTTTGCAGGTTGTCGAGAAAACAATCTGGCTTGAACAGCACGTTGTCTGATTGTTCGGTCCAATACAGGCAGCTCTAATTGCTTTTGTATCTCGACTGATGATATCCAGGGATCCTTCTTACGGATCTGACGATCATAGAATCTTCTCTAGAAGTGGTAGAACGTGGTTGTCCACCTTTGTTTTCTGCCCCCAACTTCCCTGTAGAGCGATATTTGGAACATGGTCTTGATATGGTCCATTTTTTCATGTGATATTTATCACAAATACTTTTTTGTGACATTCCACTTCGTAATCGCCAATAATTTTCTTTCTTAGTTCCAATCCAAGACTGTCAGGAGCCATTTTTGCCCTTGAAGTCATAAAAATAATAAAAACAAATAATCACGCTTCTCAAGACTTTTACCTTGTGATGATACAATAATGCTCTGTGGAACACAACGTCTTGGTTGGATGTGGACTGAATTGATGAAATGAAACACCTGTTGTATTTCACTTCTTGTATTGATGTTCTTTGATAAAACACTTTGATAAAACTCACTTCGATAAACTGTCTTGATAATACTGACTGATTGACTTCCATATACTGACTGAATTACATGTCGGTTTACATGTCTCTTATATAGTAAAATAAACATGTGTGAACCTGTTCTGGAAGATTCTAGATGCTTCTTTTTGATGCTTCTGGATGCGTCTGATGCGTTTGATGCTTCTGGATGCGTCTGAATACTTCTGAATGTTTCTGGATACTTCTGGATGCTTCCAGATGCTTCTTCTGGATACTTATGGAAGCTTCTGCATGCTTCTGGAAACTTCTGGATACTTCCTTTAATTATTAAAAAACTTTTGTGACGTTGATACGGATCAGACTTAAGAAAATGAAACAAACCAAAAAAGTTGCACTTGTTTTGTCCACTGCAAAATGGCACTTGTCAACGAAATTCTGCCTGTGTGCTGTCACCTGTCAGCTGATTGCTCATGTCATGGCATGCTATGACTCCAGATTCCTGAACTGTTTGCTGTGCTAGTATAGTTCGTTTTGTTTTTAAGACATGTAAAATTAGGAACACTTCTTAGCATTGTTTGATGTTGGTTGCAAATGTTTTTTACAATACTGTGTATTGAAAAAAAGAAATGAGGTCGGCAATTTTTTGCCACTCTCAAACACTTTTAGGGCAGTTTGGTCAACATTGCCAAATGCCGACCCTAATTCAGAGGGATATATACACACATACACACACACACACAAATATATATATATATATATATATATATATATATATATATATATATATATATATATATATATATATATATATATATATATATATATATATATATATATATATATATATATATATATATATAGTTTAAACAAAAACAATTAAAAACAAACTTTGTATTCTTCATAAAAATCATCTTTCAGTGTTTGAAAACAATGAACCAATCCTTCTACAGTTAAAGGTTCATCATTATCAGGTTGAAAACCTGCTTTGCATCTAAACAAAAAGATTAAAAGAAAAAAATTTTAACAAGATTTTAAAAGACTGCTTTTTCAAATGTAAGAAATGACTTTCAAAAGAAGTTCTATAAGCAACTTTCAAAACGGTTCAAAAGTTTTTAAATGCCCAAAAATTAACAAAATAATGAAAAGGATATTGTTTTTGGGCTGAAATATTGGGGAAATTTGAGGATTTAAAATAATTATCATATTTAAAAAGGAATGTAAAACTAATTTAACTATTCTAGTAACCTATCAATGATTCTAAGAACATGTTCCAGATTATTTATTTCTATATCTTCATTTTGTACAACTTTATCTAAGCGTTCCTTTTCATATGTTAAATTCACAACATTGTCTTTTTCAAATCGAAGTCTAAAAAACAATTTTTTTTTGTTATTTTTTCAATGGGGATTCAATACAATTTTAAGTTCTTCAAACTCTTAATTTTTTAAGATTATTAGTTTCATAATCCAATTTTAATGACCAAATATTTCCTTTTTCGAAATTATTAATATTATTTAATTATTATTATTATTAAAAACATTAAAAAAATGTTACACAATATCTGTAAATATACAACAAATGTACAATTCCCTATAAAAAGTTATAATCCATATTTTTCCACAATTCACCATAAAATCCACAATTCACCATATTAACAATGTCTGAATTTGAAACACAATCCAAAAGTTTTATATATATATTTTTCTACTTTTTTGAAAGTACTTATAAAATTTGCAGTAAACACTATTTAAGAAATGATTTTCTTATACATTTGTTTGTCAATAATGCAAATAAGCAATTAAAATTAGGAAAAATTCAAAAATAGTCAAAACAAAAGAATTCAATTCTTTGGCTGACCTCATAATTATTTCACTACCATGGATACAAAGTATAGTGATCTAATACTAAAAATACAACTACATGAACTAATGTATATGAATTACAATATATTGATACAATTAACATTTAAATATCTGTATCCGTATCAAGTGAAGTCCCACAAGGTTTGGTTCTAGGACCATTATTATTTGTCCTTTTTATCAATGATCTTTCAAAGAAGATTGCGCACCACATCAAATTATATGCAGATGATAGCAAAATCATTGGCATCATCAAATCTGAAAATGACTGTTCAATTTTACAAGATGACATGGACAAAGCTGTGGAGTGGTCCAGAATTTGGCGCATGTCTAAACTTGCAGTTACCAAGAACGAAAGAGACATGGTCATGGTCTCAGATGACTTAAAACTAAAAAAATCAAGTTGAGACAGCAGCCTCAACGGCCAATCAAGTACTTGGTAGGTTGAAAAAAGCATTCTGCAGTTGAGGTATTGTTGTTTGGAGAACATTGTATATAGCTTATACTCGCCTGCATCTCAAGTTTGTAATACAAACCTGGTTGTCATTTGTAAAACGCGACATTGAAACACTAGAAAAATAGCAGAAGCATGTGACAAAAACGGTTGCACTATTAAAGCATTTACCATACACCCAAAGATTGCAAATATTAGGTTTAACAACTCTTAAAGACTGTAGAACACGGAGTGACCTAATTCAGCAATTCAAGATCACTCGAAACATTGACAAGATCTTTTAATATGTGCCACAGATGCAACACTTAGCTAGACTGAATTACAATCTTCAAAGTCACAGTCAGTGTCTTGATAAACAAACAGTAAATCATTGTATTAAAAGAGAACATTTTTTTACAAATCGAATTGTACGTGACTGAACGCTCTCCCGCCAAAAGACTAATGATGCACAAAATGTCAACTGCTTTAAAAACTTTTTTATCTACTTATAGCTGCTTTGTATGCAGCACAAGACTGTCTGAACTGAGGAACCTGGTGCCGCCCCTCTTCATTGATCATTTTATTTTTATTTTTGGCTTTTTTGTTGTAATTTTATGATCGATTACTGTATAAACTAAGCTAAACTAAATACTAATTTTTGAAACCTTTATTAAGTTAACTTAACTGTACATTGTTTTCTTTTTAATAAATATAAAAACTTTGTAAAATAAAATATTTTTATAGCCTGATTATGAGCTTAATAGGCAAGAAATATTACAATTACATTTATTTCATTTGTATTGAATCTATCTGCATTTGTATTTAATCTATTTATCATAATAATACAAATAAATTTATAACAAACTTCATGTAAGATGTTTTTAAAACAAAATAAAATAGAATATAATACAAACTATATTATATCATGTATTTATAATTACAAATAATATATGAAATAAAATAAGAAAATGAATAACAAATAATAAAACCATTTATAAAAATTATTAACTAAAATCACTATATTGGATGTAATACTCACTGTCTATCAATCTGAATAATTTCAGATTCAGCAAGATCCACTAATAAATTTAAATTGTAAAGGAGCTCAGGAATGTCAAAATCTTTGTGATCATCTCCAATGATACCTTTCATTAAAAAATCATTAATAGTATAAAGATATAGAATTGAAGTTTAAACTAATAATAAACTTTAAAGTTGTTGATCGTATCAGAAAAAGTTAAGTAAAACTAAAACCTTTTTTTTCTCCTTCCCCGGGTTTTGCATGCTGATGCCCTATTGCATTATAACCTTGCAAAACTTTTGTTTCAGGTCCAGTCATATCAACAACCTAAAAACAAACAATTTAAATTGAATATTTAAATATAATGTATTTTAAAAGTTTTTTAAAAACTGATTATAAAACATAACTAAGAAAAAGAATTTTTAAATACCCTGTAACGAAAATAATTTAAAACAAATAATCAAACTGTAACTTGTTCTCCAAGTCTCCAAGCTGGATTAACTGTAACTTCATCTTCAAACTCAATTAAAACACCATTAAACACTTTAAAAAAAAATTTATTAGAAATAAAATAACTTACTTTAATGTTATTTCCATAGGAAAGTAATGGTGCCAGCTTTTGAGTGGCGCCACTTTTCTAAAACAAAAATTTTAAATAATTCCAGTTTTCTAATTTTAAAATTTTATATAGATAAAAATTATGGAGATTTCTGGATGACATACTTTTACTTCCTCAGCTGTTTTGTAAACATACTTTGGCTTGCCTGATTCCTATTATAAAATAGAAGTTCTTGAATCAGATAAAAATATTTTGGCAAGTGAAAAATTTTTATTAAGAAAACATCACAAATAATTTTAATATATATAATTATAAATTAATTATAATTTCAAAATATAATTTTACAAACAAATATTAGAATTTAAAAGAATAGTATAGTCCTTTGACATCTTAACTCCCTAAAGAGGATAAATACTATACTAGGATAAGTATATGAAACCACTTCTTGACTGATTTCCCAGTATGACATGGTGCTGAGTCTTGTTGAAAGATGGTAGTTTCAGAAATGTTCATATTTGTCTTAACCTTTGACTCTAAATCCTGTATATACTTTGCAGCATTGACCTTTTCGCCCTTACCGAAGATGTGGATTCCGCATCTACCCTTAGCTGAGATGGCGGATGTTTAACAGTCTTCAGAGAAGATGTTAAACACCCGCCATTCGTGGCAATTTTGATGTCTAGAACTCCCATGCAATTTTATAACGTTTTGTACAGCGCATCTCAATATTTCTAGATGTTTACTAATGAAAACTTGTGAGTACCCTTCACCATGCCATTTTATTATTTACTATATACTTTTAAAAAAGAACTTTAATAAGCTTTGATGATGTCTTTTAAACAAATATATGTGAAAAATTTTGATTTGATTCATTTAATGACATTGACATATAATATTTAAGAGGTACATTCAAAGTTATACTAAATTTATCCAAAAACCGTAAGGTGCCCTAATTTATTGGCCACTACTGTATAAGACAAAATGATTGGTGGTTGGACCAGAGGGGCAAGGATGTCAAGCACTTACCTCTAGCCTTAAAATAGATATAAATAGCATCTAAATAGTGTTAGAAGTAAAAAGCAATTTTTTAAAAAACTTATCTTTTTAACTTTTTACTTTTACAATTTTAAATTAAATAAAAAGTACTTCTCCAGTTTTTTTCCACTGATGTAATTTTTCTATTTCAGCTTTAATTTCTATTTCTTCATTTTCTTCACTGTCATATACAGGCTAAAAACAAAATAGTTAAAAAAAAAGTCATTAGACTTATATATGAAATATATGAACAATATATGTATATATATATATATATATATATATATATATATATATATATATATATATATATATATATATATATATATATATATATATATATATATATGAATTGCTAACTTGAAAAAAGGGACATGTCCTGCAAAAATTCACATAACATGTCCCTTTTTATATGTATATGTGTATATATATATATATATATATATATATATATATATATATATATATATATATATATATATATATATATATATATATATAAATATAAATATGTATATATATACATATACATATATACATATACATACATATATATATATATATATTTATCTGATATATATACATATATATGTATATAAATTATAAATTAGTAGAAAATCACTTAACAATTTTTTTTTTCATTTTACACTGTGTTTCATCAACAAAGACTCATCAGAAATGCATTTCTGATGAGTCTTTGTTGATGTGTGTATATATATATATATATATATATATATATATATATATATATATATATATATATATATATATATATATATATATATATATATATATATATATATATATATATTCACAGCTGACCATTTTATATAAAAGACCTTCTATGTTAATAAAAAATTAAAATATTTGTTTTGATTTTACAAATATACTTTACATCTATAGTTAGAAATAATTTCTTTTGTTTTACAGTCGTGGCCAAAAGTTTGGAATCACTCATAAATTTTAATGATTTTGATTTTACTGACCTAACATAATTAAAAGTAAATTAAGTTGTTAACTTATTGATCGCTAAGGATCACTAGCAATTACTTATCAGCTATTTTCAACACCTCAGCTGTCTGTATTCAAAAAAAATTGAGAGGTCAATAGACATATCATATGCTATTTCTAAATGGTAATGCATGACTTATTAACGCCAATCAAAAGCCATAACTGACAGTAAATAACTTTATGATTAGTAGGCTGATATTGAATGTTTGGCTGTTGGCATTTTCTGTATCAGTTAGAAGTTCATTTAGACCGAGTTCAGATCAGCTGCAAGATTACAGAGGATATCTGATGAAAATGAATTAATTTTTAATTTAAAACTAAAATTCTCTTGTTTTTAATTGTTTTATAAAAATTTTTTTATAAGATGATAAAATATATGAAAACAATAAATTTAACTTTTTTTTGAATCAAATTAGTGTGGGAATGGTGCATTCTAAAAAATTAACAACTGCACAACCAGCTCAGATACATGTTCTGAGCCAGTAGAAAATGTCCCCAAGAAGAATGCAACGTTTCTCAATGTGTCTAAGGCTGTGACCAGGACAGATCTTACAAATCTCGGGAACGCTCTGATAGACCTCAAATCACATAAGCAGCAGCTGATAGGCTTATCCGAAGAACTGAGGTTGCTCAGCCAAGCATGTCTTCAATCAACATTGCTGCCCGGATACCTGCTGGAGTGAGCACCTGGAATGTCAGAAGCATATGCTAGTTGAATTAAAGCTGCCCTCTCATAAGACAGCCAAAAAAGCTAAGTTATCAAAGAAGAATGTCAAAAATCGCTTGACATTTTATAAACTGTAAAGGACCTAGACGGGAGATGAAGTTCATGTTTTCTGGATGGATAAAGGTCATATTTTTTGATGAATTAACCTTCACTCAGTACACATGCTACGACAGGGTAGTTTGGAGACTTACCAACCAAAGGTACAATGCAAAACATGTGACCCTAACAGTCAAACAGGCCCTAAAGACCAAGGTATGAGGCAGCTTATACGCATCTGGCACAGATGCGCATAATAGGCAAGTTTACACAGATGTCTTTAGAGAAAAGCTTCCCCCATATATAACAATACACTCCTGCACCTATTTTCAGCATGATGGTGCATATTGCCACCAGACAGCAGCTGTCAGATGCTGGTTGAAGGAGGAAGTGGTCTAGTTGCTTGGTGCATAGCATGGATCAAGTCTGGACTTGAACCCAATTGAAAACATGTGGACAATCATGAAGCAGAAGGTTAGTCAAGAACCTCCAATGTCAGAAAAAACATTAATAGATACTATCAAGCAGGTATGGGCTACCAGTATAACATCTGAGTACTGCAAATCTTTAGCCTGTATATTCATTATTAGCCTGTATATTCAAACATTAATATTCATTAGAGTAGCCTTTAGCATATATATTCATTAGCGTGTTTGTATTTTTGTATAACAAAAATATTAGTTTTTCATATAAGTAAAGTAGGATTTTTTTTGTACTGTTTTTTGTATTTTAATGTTATTGTATGTGGGGATGTTTTTTATAAACGACTGTGTTAATCTGGATTTTAAATTTTTCTATTGTCAATATACTTATCTCATAAGTGAGAGCATAGCTGCTAGTTTTTTGTTCTTTATGACTGCTTGTGGTTTGCCTATCTAATTTTTATCAGGCCCTCTGTTGAACTAATGTTTTGCCAGGTATGTTTAAGGAAGATGCAACATTTGTAAACAATTTCTACAATTATCTTAAATAATCTTAAAAATCCTTATACACACTTTCACACTACTTCTGAAAGAACATAATTGTCTATTTATTTCACATTATATTTTCTGCAATTTAGTGCAATTTGATTAAAGATTTTAAATATAAGAAATATGTACATCCTAACTGATGTCTATAATATGCTGCATATTGGAGAGACTTGTGTCAAACTAGACTTTTATCACGCCACTTCTTTGAGCTTTATCTGTATATAAATTTTTTTTACAAATATTACTTTTATAATCAATGTTAATTTTATAAATAGAACAGGAGAAAAGTTTCAAGTTCACCCTGCTACAAGTAACATGTACAACCTAGCACCACCAGGATGGTGGTAGGTTACCCAGCCACCAGGGTTAGCCAGCCTGATGGCATCTCGTATAACACAGAATTCCCAATTGTTTTAAAATTCCCAAAAGGTCAAAAAGCAAAAGATAAAAACATAAATAAAAAAAATAAAAAACAAAAAACATACCAGGTCTTAAATGTGTTAGGTAATAACATGTGATACCTAGAAATCCGGAAAAAACTAAAAAACGTATAACTTTGAGACTAAAGGGGCAATTTTATTTCTGTAAAAAGATTATGTCTGCGAACTTTGTCCACTAGGCTGAAAGAAGCTTTGCCAAGTCGATGTACGTGATCTTGACTGATCTGTTTTATGCAGTAGTTGATCTGTCAGTGAGCTGGTCCACGATTTTTGCTCTCCAGCCATGATCATATACTCTTCAATTGAGTTCTGACAAAAAGTCTTCAATTGGTCGGAGTTCTGGCACATTGGCAGGGTTGCGCTATTTAGGGACGAATTTGATGTTATTCACTTGGAGGAACTCCTGTGTCTAATGAGGCATAGCGAGGACAGGCCAGAAAACGATCTCGTCGTTCTTATGAAATGTTTCGATAAATGGAATCAAGGGCTTCATCAAGCACTTCTGGATGTAAACATCTTGATTGATCACTTGGCCCTAAGGTGTCACCAGGTGCTTCGACAGGCCGTCCTCGGACATAGCAATCCAAACAAGTACTGTTGACTCGAACTGAGACTTGCGCTTGAGTTTAACAGCTTCTGGAGTCATTTTGACGTCAGACGTGTAGAAACCAGCGTTTCCAGATAAATGGTTATTGTTCAACGAAAAATAGGACTCATCGTCGATGATTGCCTTCTTTTTCCAGAAAACTCTGGCCAGGTGGGCACACTTTGGAGGAATGGCTGACTTCTGTTGCGGAGTTCGATCCAAAACTTTTTTCTTCTTTTTGTATTTGATTGTTGTCTTGGTGCTAATTTTTTTTTGATATGTGCTTTTGGCTGACACTATACTCGCGGGTTAGCTGACGCTGGCTAACTCCGTCACTATAATCAATTTGCTTTTTCAGCATGGTAATTCGCTTTGTGTTCATCTTGATTGTCACCTGTCCAGTTCCACACTGTTTTTCAGGGCCTATTTTGAGCGTCTTGTGCTGCAGAATATCATACAGGGACGACCTTGATGCGCTTTCCTTTATGAAGTGTCTCACAATCTCACTTTTTTTCATATCCGGATTAACGCATACACACGCTTTCTGAAGTCTTCCTGTTTTGAGATAATTTTCTTTGTCATTGCAAATAATTGTTTGCTAAAAGATATATTGTAATTTGTAGAGAATTAAATTTACTACAACTTAGCATAAGTTGCAACAATTTTGCAACACTCCTAAAACAATTTATGTCGACCAAACTTTTGTCCGGATTTCTAGGTATCACATGTTATGTTATACACGTTATAAAATATGAATTATTTACGAACTACTTAGTAGAAATATGTTGTGGGTACACCCAAATACTCCATTCATACTGACTATAAAACACATTTTATTTTAAATGTCTTTTAAGTTTCAAAGTAAACAAGTTTTTTGTTAGTCATTATAAATTTTCAATATTGTAAAAGTGCTATATAAACTTTATTCTTGTCTAACGCACTGACCACCTCTATGGTAGTGGCAATGCAAATCTTTCTGTAATCTACTACTTATTACCTTTTCTGTTATCTCTTATTAACTAGGGTAGAGCTCAGTTTAATGGTTATGAGGCCAACTTATTGTAAGATTTCCTATACTCTGTGGTAGCTCTAAGATAGAATGATCCCATCAACAAGCTGTAATGTGCCATGTTGTGCATGGAAAGAGTCCTAATTTGTGTTGTTGGTGTGCATTGTTGAAACTACATAAGGTGCCTCTTTTAATGACTTTAGATTGATTAACAAGAATGAGGCTACCACATAGCTCGTTGCATAAGGCGCCATGCAATATATGTGATTGAGTCAAGTTTTTTAAATTGTTTAAAACACGAATAAAGTTCCTAAAAATATAAATAAAAAAAACACATCATTAACATCAAATTATTTCAATCAATCTTTTGAAATATTTGTGTTCTTTGATGTAATTTTTTTCTCTGTTGAATCTT